ATTCCCGGCGGCCACGATAAGAGGGTTTTCATGTTGTGACCGGGCAGCTACTTCGCAAATGCATATAATATCAGATCTGAATCGCAAATAACTGACAACACTACGCGATAAACTCAGCGGGCTGAAGTTATGAGCTAAGATACTCGTCCAACTCTTCGCCTAGTTACTGAAGTACAGTTATCAGAGTCCCTATGCCTGAGTGTCAGAGTTGCAGGCGTCTAGTAAGGGAAGTTAGTGGATCGGGTTGATATTTAAGAATGTAAGAATCGGTAGTATTTCAGTATACATACGTGTTTCTTTAGTAATAAATGGTATCTGTTTGCGGTATTTGAACACTTAGCCGAATCATTCGTTAGGAATATCCCGGTCGTCTTATACTATACTTGATCACGGAGGCTCGTGATTCCCCTTCTATAAGTGTAAAAATATAAAACCCGAAAACGTCACAATGTGAATGATCGCGGAAAACCTAATTCAGTAATAAAATAAAAACAAATTATATCTCACTAATATAATGACTCGTGTTCACTTGTTGACTGAAAGACTGGAAGAGTGATGACCCTTTTATGACAACTGGGTATTTAAAGGAGCCGCGTAAGAATCTACGGGTAACAGTTGATATCTTTCTAAAGAACTGGACTACGTTACCTCTGACAGGGTAGCAAGGCTGGTGAACATGACCCTTAACTTTTACTCACTACTCGTGGTGGGACGTCGCTCATATTGACATATGAAGTTGAAGACTAAATTTTATAGCAAAATGGTTGTCTTAAGCTCCAAACTAGAATGCTTTAGATTCGTAGCAGAAAATAGACAGGATGGTTGTACTTTTGCAATCGGGGTCATAAAACCTCCGAATTATTGGGCAAATTTATAAATTTTGCTAGGTTTTTGTACAACATCACACCTTCGCGTCTTAGAAATTGTTGAATTGTAGGTGCGTATTTTGAATAGATGTATTTTTTTTTTATTGCCGTATAGGCAGACGAGCATACGGTCCACCTGATGGTGAGTGGTTACCGTCGCTCATGGACGTTAGCAATGCCAGGGGCAAAGCCAAGCCGCTGCCTACCGTTTGCAATTGTTGTACCGTTGTATAGTTGCATCGCATGAAAGATGAAGATTAGAACCGATAGAAGTTCATCACACTGCAATATGTGGGTGCGCTGTGTTCAAGTCCTTTCCTCTTCAGCCAGGACCCATAATAAAAGAACAATCTTTAGGCGTGACACACAAAAACGCGGTCCTACTATATTTATATGTATTAGGAAGTCGAAAATGAGGAAAAACTTAGGAGTTGCTTCAGTCGAGTCTCGGATGAATTGATGGTGACATTGTGATATTTTAGTTACCGAAAAATAAATCATAGCATTTTTAATACAATTCATTTATGGTGTTTCTGTTCTCTAGTAGATTTTCACTACTTTCGAAGGACAAGTGAGTACTTCATTGATTATAAAGAAAATTTCAAAACATTGTTATAAGATCGTTTTTTTTTATTTAAAGCTTCGTAAAATCTAAAATAGTGAATAACCTAATTTTATGAAACAAGAAAAGCTATTCATATTATTTAGCAAAATACTTTGATTTCGTGTTCGTGGATCGAGTTACTTGACAAAAGAAACTGACTGTGTCGTTTGAAGAGTAATTGTACTTTTTACTGGTGGTAGGACCTCTTGTGAGTCCGCACGGGTAGGTACCACCACCCTACCTATTTCTGTCGTGAAGCAGTAACGCGTTTCGGCTTGAAGGGTGGGGCAGCCGTTGTAACTATACTGAGACCTTAGAACTTATATCTCAAGGGGGGTGGCGCATTTACGCTGCAGATGTCTATAGGCTCCAGTAACCACTTAACACCAGATGGGCTGTGAGCTCGTCCACCCATCTAAGCAATAAAAAAAAACTTACAAAAGTAATAAATGATGATAGATTGAATTTGAAAAAAAAAACATTTCTTATATAAAACCCTCAAATTCAAAAAACTCAAAATCGAAGCATTACCGAATTAAGCTAAGTTTTTCAAACATACATCGGTTAATTTTGGACCGATCAGAGGTATGTAATTCTCGATTCGTTTTTTTCTTTTCTTTATTAGGCTGTTGATTTAGATATTTTCGACATAGATCGTTTGAATTGTATTGCGTTAGATATCCGATTTATCCGTTATGTCGGTCTACATTTACGAGTATGCTTTGAGAGCACATTGTATTTTTTTTATATTATTTAGATGAGTGGACGAGCTAAAAGCCCACCCGGTGTTACGTGGTTACTGGAGTCCATAGACATCTACGATGTAATTGCGCCACCCACCTTGAGATATATATAGTTCTAAGATCTCAAGTATAGTTACAATGGCTGCCCCGCCCTTCAAACCGAAACGCATTACTGCTTCACGGCAGAAATAGGCAGGGTGGTGGTACTCACCCACGCGGACTTACAAGAGGTTCTACCACCAGTAAATCCTAATTTTGTTTGTTACGTCAGGCTTTTTTTTTTTTTTGTCAGGAGGAAATCGCCGGACTTCTGCCCTTTTCTGGGGATACTGGGCGGGGTATGTCAGAGTCGAACTGACTAAAACCTTCTGTCGCTCAACAACCAACGTCCAAACCTCGCATGAGACAGAACTCATGACAAGGCAAAGGGGGGAAAGTGAAGCGTTTAGTGCGGAGCACATCTCTCCCATCACCCTCCCCCTCGGGACGCCGGACTGGGGGTCGTCGGCGCCACGACCACCAGCCCTCTCGGTCGGCAGACTGTCCGAAGCCCGCCTAGATGGCGCCGGTTAGAGTGGGGTACCCTACGGAATACCCCGCTGGGCCAGAACCAGCGTGGGTCGAGGATAGCCGGCCTTCCATCACCCGGATGCTCTTGCGTAAAACGCGTGCAGAGCAGCTTGCACGTCGTCTTCTTAGGCCCCCCTCGCCGGTCCCCAGACCGACATGTGAGGGGGACCCGAAACACTTAGAGGGCCAGGGCTTGGGCGAGATCCGCCTCCCTGGCCCCCGCTCGACGGCGGCGGGATTGTGCGTCTCTCACGCGCCCCGCCGCCTCCTTCTGCGAGATGGTGCACTCGCAGAAGTCGAGCATCGCCTTCCACGACTCGTTGTCGCCGAGCATCGATGCCACAACACTCGACAACGACAAGTCGGTTCCTATTTTTGCGACGAGGACACGGCGCCACCCCTCCCATGCGGGGCAGGCGACGAGCGTATGCTCTGCCGTGTCCAAGTCGCAATCACAATGGTGGCACTCTGCCGTCGGCTCGGCTGTGATCCGGTGCAGGAACTCACCGAAACAACCATGCCCAGTGAGCACCTGCGTGAGCCGGAAAGTGAGGCATCCTCTGTCACGATTCACCCAATCCACAAGGACCGGGCGAATCGCCTCGACGGTCCTACGACCAGCCGAAGGATCAGCCAGCCGTCTGGACCATGACTCCAGCACGGAAGCGTGTATCTTTACTACATAGTATAAAACAAAGTCGCTTTCTCTGTCCCTATATCTGGCTGTTCCTATGTATGCTTAAATCTTTAAAACTACGCAACGGATTTTGATGCGGTTTTTTTTAATAGATAGAGTGATTGAAGAGGAAGGTTTATATGTATAATAACATCCATTAAATAGTGGAGAAATCAATAATAAATTACAGTTTCCGAAGCGAAGCGAGGGCGGGTCGCTAGAATCCTATTAAATTGGAAACTCTTTAATACATAACAGTTCTTGTTTTCGCTTTAAAAGAGCTTGGTAATGCACCATTAGCATACGACAGACGATGTGTAGAGTCGTTTAAACAAATGTGTTTAAATTGGATTCAGTATAATTGTTCGCGATAATCATATGGAAGCAGGATTCACTAGCATAATATGCCGTATCGTAACCTCCATACCTTATATGTACACCATACTGTATAATGTTGTGACAGTTGTAGCGTAAAAGAATAATATGCCTAAAATTCAAATATTATATATTTTATATATTTTTACAATATGTTTTTTCACTGGTGGTAGGACCTCTTGGGAGTCCGCACGGGTAGGTACCACCACACCGCCTATTTCCGCCGTGAAGCAGTAATGCGTTTCGGTTCGAAGGGTGGGGTAGCCGTTGTAACTATACTGAGACCTTAGAACTATATCTCAAGGTGTGTGGCGCATTTACGTTGTAGGTGTCTATGGGCTCCAGTAACCACTTAACATCAGGTGGGCTGTGAGCTCGTCCATCGATCTAAGCAATTAAAAAAAAAATTACGTTTTTATTTTCAATGGAACAAATTCGCGGCCCACCTGGTATTAAGTGATTACCGGAGCCAATATACATCTACAAGACTACAATGTAAATGCCGCCACTTACCTTGAGATAGAAGTTCTAAGGTCTTAGTATAGTTACAACGGCTGCCCAACCCTTCAAATCGGAATGCATTACTGCTCTGCTTCACGGTAGAAATAGACAGGGTGGTGGTATCTACCTGTGCGGACTCAAGATGACCAAATACCAGTAATAACGCAAAATATAATTTTCCGGGTTTAATTTTTACTACACGATGCTATTCCTTCACCGTGGAAAGTCAATCGTGAACAAATGCTAAGTACATATTTCATTAGAACAATTGGTATCCGCCTGCGGGATTCGCAATATCTATCTGCTAAATCTATAATAAAATAAAAATAATAATAAAACATTTGTAAACGCGGAGAATAATCTTGTCTGCGTGCGACAAAAATAACTTTCTTCGTAACAAAGCGACATTGCAAAATAAATTTTGTGTATTTTATTATAATAACTTGGTCTAAATATCTAAATGAAAATGAATCATGCAATATCGATCTGCGAAATCTATAATAAAGTAATAATAAAATAAAAAATAAAAACATTCTTAAAAGCGGAGAATAATCTTGTCCGCGTGCGACAAAAATAACTTTCTTCGTAACCCAGCGACATTGCTAAATAAATTTTGTGCATTTTATTAACTTGACCTAAATATCTAAATCAAATTTAAAACTTACCAAAAACAGAGCGTTGAAAACGACGAGTAAATATTTAATGCAACTCATACCGCACCCCTCCATTTTGATTAAATAATTTTATTTAAATTTAAAAAAGCCACAGTCTAATACAATTTTAACAAAATCAAATATGTAACAAAATTATTCTTTATTTAAAAAAAATCAAGAAACCTAAAACGCAAGTCTTCAAATTCGAATTACGAATGTATATTTTTTTTTTTGAGTCACAGACACGTGCACACGTACAGCCAAGCGTTAGCCAAATGCGCTAGTACAAAGCGTTCCTCGGTATTTTATTTTGTAGGGAAAATTAGGCGGTGTGAACCATGAATCGCGTGCCAGGATTGAAATCACGACACCCCAAATTACTTTGACCCTTAAGATTTACGTCGTTAAAAGCCGATATGGATCTCGATTAAACGGCTTTAACCAGATGATAGGTTATTGGGCTTAGATTTATTATAATTTCATAAGAAATATCGTTTGGAATTTTGTTTTATGATATTATAGACACATCGATTGTAATATTGTATTGTAATAGAATTGTTATTTTTTAAAGGTTTTTTTTTCTAGTAATAATAATTTAAGTAGTTAAACCGTATTGGTCATGATATTAGCCGGAGTCGGTTTTCAGCACTTTATATTATTTAATACTTAAATAAGTTTGACAGTGTGTGAGAAAAATGTTTTTGTTTCGGAGGTGAGTGAGTTAGGCCACGCCCCATCTGGTGTTATAAATATTTATCAGGGCCCTTAAATGTCATCAACGTACAATATTGAGACATGAGTTCTAATTATCAGTTGTATAGTACAACCCCACCTTTGAACCAGGACGGATACAAACAGTAGATGTGAAAGGTAATAGATCTTCAGGTACCTTGTTGAAAATGGGTGTACCTCAGGGTTCCATTTTGGGTCCTTTTTTATTTCTAATATATATAAACGATTTACCTAGTTTTATTGAATCCCGACACGAGGTCGTATTATTCGCAGATGATACATCTTTATTATTTAAAATTAAACGACAATTACAAGTCTATGACGAAGTGAATGATGCGATTTCGTGTGTGGTTCATTGGTTCCGTATCAATAACCTATTATTGAATAGTAAGAAAACTAAATGTATTAAATTTACTTTAAAATGTATTAAACCATCTTTAAATGTGAGACAAGTGGATAGTGATGTAATTGTTTCTGAGGAATCATTGGAGCTTGTTGAGTCAACCGTNCTTGATTTGTTAGGTCTCCTTCGGAGGCGCTCGGGCAGTTGTTCGCAAATCCCACCCCTCCTGGCTGAGCCTTTGCTCGCCCACCTGTCCTGGTGAAATTGGAAAGGCCTTCGGGCCATCAGTAATCTTTCAATCATAAAAAAATATTAATGGTGGTAGGACCACTTGTGAGTCCGCGCGGGTAGGTACCTCCCCGCCTATTTTAGCCGTGAAGCACTAATGCGTTTCGATTTAAAGAGTGGGACAGCCGTTGTAACAATACTAAAACCATAAACTCATATTATCTCAAGGTGGGTGGCGGCATTTACGTTGAAGATGTCTTTGGGCTCCGGTAGCCACTAAACGGGCTGTGAGCTCGTCCACCCATCAATGCAATGCAATAATAAAAAAAAAATAAAAAAAATTAGAATGTTAACAAACGCGGACACGGCTCGTTTGCTTACTATAAAGTCAATGATTATCTAGAAGATTGCACAAAGTGGGAATGAGTTGCTCGCTCCAGGCATTTCAATATTGTAGTAATTGTTACGTTATAATACTCATTGTAAAAAAATCTAATATTAAAAAATAAATAAATAATAATTTCATATGTAAAAAAAAAAAAAAAACATGCCCGCTGAGTTTCTTGCCAATTCTTCTCAGGACGGAGGCTAGTTCTTGTGAATTGGCGGTAGTTCTTTTGACGTTCAACAAGTATGTACTTTCATTTATGTTGAATAAAAATTTTTTGATTTGATTTGATTTGATTTGATTTGAACCTGAACGCATTACTGCTTTCGAGTAGAAATAGTTAAGCTAGCAGTACCTACCTGTGCGGGTAGACATAACGTCTTACCACCAGTAAGTGAGGAAGATTAGTATATTCTAAATCATATTTTACAATAATTGCTCGGTAATTCCTCAAACACTACTACTAGGCTGGCGCGATGACCCCGAAGTGGATCTTGGCCTCCGACAATAACGCCACCATTCAACCCGGCGCTGCGCAAAACCTTACCAGTCCGACAATTGGAGCTCACGTAAATTTCTTTCCACAGCGTCAGACCATACCGCCCAAAACACGTTATTACGGATCCTCCCGATCCATTAACGGTGCTTTTAGGTACCTCAAGCACCGGTCACCGTCCTCGTCGAACCCGTCGCTTGCGACGAAGGGCTCGACAAGCGAATTAACAACACATAGACACAGCCCTCTGATTTTCTCGCCGGATCTTCTCAGTGGGTCGCGTTTCCGATTCGGTGGTAGATTCTGGGAAGCACTGCTTTTGCTAGGGTCACTGTTAGCAACACTCCGGCTTGAGCCCCGTGAGCTCACCTACACGTTAGGGCGAAGTACTTGGGCTGCTCTACGGGGCGGTGTCCCACCGATTCACCTGTTTCACGATCCTGCTCCGTATGCACTGCATACTCCTAGCCTCTACGACTTTATCTCCCTCAGAATATTTGGCTAACCAAAGAGCCTCTCCACATCTTTGTTTTTCCAGACGCGCCAAGAACCGTCATCTCTCTGAACCGGTCCTAGTATCTTTCTCAGTACCTTTCGCTCAGTCACGAGAAGTTTTGTCCCTTTTTTCTCTGTAAGCGTCCATGCTTCGCATCCATGCTTTGCGTTTCGGTTTGAAAGGTGGGGCAGCCGTTGTAACTAAACTGTGACCTTAGAACTTATATCTCAAGGTGGGTGGCGCATTTACGTTGTAGATGTCTATGGGCTCCAGTAACCACTGAACACCAGGTGGGCTGTGAGCTCGCTCACTCAACTAAACTAAAAAAAAAAAAAGAAATAACCATACAATAAGGTCGGTCTGACTTCGAAGAGAGAATCCGATGTAGGGCTGTACTGCATCGTCAGGTAATTTGTACACGTATTTCACTCTCATGTTCCCTGTCATTGATATCTGTTAATACAACTGAACGAAAACTAATTACAATACAATAAATACAATATTTTGCTATTTACATTCGATCTATTGGCCATGTGAAAACACGGCTTAAAAGATTCGTTTGGATGATAGTAATTGAAAAAAAAAACAATTGGTGAAAAAGGGTCATTGAGAACCATGAATAAAGGACCTTGGTTTGGTAACGAACTCAGCAATAAATACATACTTATTACATCAAACATATAATTACATACATACTTGACGTCAATTTCAGTTGAAAGTATTATGACAAATAACCATGACAACCAGATTGAAACTAAAAAGGTCTTTAACCTACGTTAGCAGTCGTGATTTCCACCTGAACACCACAAATAACTAGAGTTCGATGACTCCTGAACTATAACCCTGAAACTGGGATTCCTTGGTCTAATATGTTTGACAGAAAACCTTTCTGTCAAATTGATTGGAGCAAGTATTTTTTTTAAATTATTTATGACATGATGTTTATGAGTGAAACTAGAAAAAGCCCAAAACAATTAATATCTTCAGTTTAAGTGGAACTCGTTTTATTAGCGTAAACTTTAAAATAGGAGGCCGTGTAACCTGGCTTTTATAAAAGGTTTTCTTAGGTTTTCGCAACTCGTGGAAATAATTAAAACAAATTTGACGGTAAAATCTCACCTTCTAAAATTGTTATTATAAGACGTTTTGAGAAGCCGAGATAAAACTCGAGATTAAGCCGTAAAAAAACTTTTAATAACCTCAACACGAAGGATTTGATTTGATAGAAGTAAATGTAAATTTAAACTTTAAACTGTATGTGACATCTTCGAACCCACCCTATTAAATGTAAATTTAAACTTTAAACTTTATGTCGAATCTTCAGAACCCACCCTATTAAAAAGCATTGCGTCGTAAATATTAATTATTGTTGTAATATAATTGCTATTTCCTGCAACCAGGCGGTCGTTCGAACGATGTCAAGTTTATTGTACCTAGGTCCCGCTGATAAGACCGTTTTTTTTTGTGGTGGCGGTTAATAATATCTAGCTTACTTAATATAAGATGGAAAGGCTAGATTTACAGAGCCTAAATATTTTGTAACTAACTTAAATTGCTCAGGAGCTTTTATGTTTTCCGAGACGTTGAGTTTTAGTCAAACTTAAAGAGAAATGGGATCTTTTTATTTTAATTTTTTATTATTTTAATTAAAAGATGATCTATCGACGGTTCGCACTAAAAGAGTCCGCCAAGTTCCGGGATAAATATTAAATTTACATGTGTTTTTAAAAGTGGTGGCGATGTTTTCCCCAAGGTAGCTGTATTCGCCACCAATACTGTTTCCGTGTTCTCAAGGCAAAGATCGGCCACTAAAATTTATGTATGAATTAGCTATGCCCGCCATTTTGTTCGTATGGGACTTAACAAAACATTATTATATTTGAAAATAATTCCAGATTTTTTTTCTAAGATATAAGTAGCTTATGTTACTCCTTATACATCAGCTATCTGCCAGTGAAAATCTCGTCAAAATCGGTCCAGCCGTTTCAGAGATTAGCCGGAACAAACAGACAGACCGACAGACAACAATTGTAAATAATGTTATTTTGCTATATAATGTTATATGTAACATATTAATGTGCATGTAGTAAAAAGCGGTTATTTTAATATTACAAATAGACTCTTCAATTTTATTTATATGTATAGATTTGAACAGCAATTTAGTGATAAGCGCGGTACAAACAAATAGAAAGACCGAACAAAAAAGTTTAAGTGCAATTAACACTATTACCGTCAACTAAAGCGGCTATTCCAAAAAAAACACATACCGATATTTCGTTTTTACCTATAACTACATATTTATTTACCTATACACTGAATCACGAGACTGTATTTTCCTATATCATTAACAACAAAGAAAATTGTCATTCGTCTTTCCACGCGTTCATTGAAAGTACATCCGAGTGTTGTGTGTGTGTGTTGGTTGGTGTCATTAATCAAACACTCTAGAATCGATATACTCCCCTTCTAGAATATTCCAATCGTTCGTAAGCGTATTTTTCTTTTTGTTAACTTGTACTATTTTGCATGATTGTTCTGGTGGTAGGACCTGTTGTGAGTCCGCGCGGGTAGGTACCATCAC